GACGGAATTCCTTGTTGAAGTTCTAAGGGCAAGAAGGGAAACTGGGCACTACTTTTGCTCTGGACAGAGGAAGAATGTTCTCAGGAATTATGCTTCTTTCTGGAGTATATCAGTGTGGTGTTAGGTGTTTTCAGTCATTATTTCACCAGTTTCCATTGCTAAATAAATAGGCAGAAGGCTCACAGCCTAACCTCATGAACAGCTCGGAAGGACAGGTGGTAAGTAGTGAGATCTTTTAAAAAGTAAATGAGGCTGGATGCAGTAGCTCATGCCTGCTATCCCAGCACTTTGAGAGGTCGAGGTGGGCAGATCACCTGAGATCAGGCATTTGAGACCAGCCTGACCAACATGGTGAAACCTTCTCTTCTAAAAAAAAATTACAAAAATTAGCCGGGCTTGGTGGTGGGTACCTGTAATCCCAGCTACTGGAGAGGCTTGGGCAGGAGAATCACTTGAACCTACAAGGTGAAGGTTGCAGTGAGCTGAGATTGCGTGCCACTGCACTCCAGCCTTGGTGACAAAGTGAAACTCTGCGGAAAAAAAAAAAAAAAAAGTAGGCCGGGCGCGGTGGCTCAACCCTGTAATCCCAGCACTTTGGGAGGCCGAGGCGGGTGGATCACGAGGTCAAGAGATCGAGACCATCCTGGTCAACATGGTGAAACCCCGTCTCTATTAAGAATACAAAAAAAATAGCTGGGCGTGGTGGCGCGTGCCTGTAATCCCAGCTACTCAGGAGGCTGAGGCAGGAGAATTGCCTGAACCCGGGAGGCGGAGGTTGCGGTGAGCCGAGATCGCGCCATTGCACTCCAGCCTGGGAAACAAGAGCGAAACTCCGTCTCAAAAAAAAAAAAAAAAAAAAAAAAAAGTAAGAATACTCCTCAGAAAATGGTGACCACTTTGGAAGGAGTGATGCTTGCTGAGTTGTATCTTTGGAATGTCTTTTTTTTTTTTTTGAGACACTCTTGCTGTTGCCCAGGCTGGAGTGCAGTGGTGTGATCTCAGCTCACTGCAACCTCTGCCTCCCAGGTTCAAGCGATTCTCCTCCCTCAGCTTCCTTAGTAGCTGAGACTACAGGCACGTGCCACCATGCCCAGGTAATTCTTTGTATTTTTAGTAAAGACGAGGTTTCACCGTGTTAGCCAGGATGGTCTCGATCTGCTAACCTTGTGTTCTGCCCACCTCGGCCTCCCAAAGTGCTGTGATTACAGGTGTGAGCCACCATGTCTGATGGAATGTCTATTTGAACTTACCACCAAGCCACAAGAACAAAGTAAGAAGCCTTGAGAGTAATTTGAAAGGTTTTCAAAAAAATTTATTTTCATAAATTAACACACATAACAATGGAAATTTTAGAGTCACAAACTACCAAACAGAAAAGAAACTGCAGGGGCATCATGTATGCCAATGTTACCAAAAATGTACAAATTTCACTCAACTACTGACCATGATAATATAGAAACATGTCAGGCAGCGATTTTTACTGGCCCAGACCAGCCCAAGGAGATGCTAAGACTTCTCACCAAGAATCCAAATCTAATTCAGCACCAGAGAGGGGCTTGGGAAGACACACAATCAACAAGCATCGAATCTGAGAGCACACTGTGCTAGATGTCCCTGCTCAACGGAGACCTCTCTTCATCATCAGAATAGCTTTTGTTGCTCAATTTGTAGCTAGATGGTAGCATTTAACTGTAATTTTAGTAAAATTAAATCTCCCTAGCCAGGTTTTTATATAACAAGTTCAGTTCTGGCAAGGAGCCCTTTCCTGACATGAATCCTGGAAAGGATATTCTGTACTTCTGGCCAATTATTTAAACTTTGGATACAGCCACCCACAATGTGATTATTTAAGAGGTCCTTTCCATGATACCAGGGGAAAAGCTTACAGAAACAAAACAGAACAAGGGAATTAAGGAAAGCACCAACTGCATACTCCCCCCACCCCCAGGGAATGGGAGACAAGTATCACCGCCTAAAAGTTGGTCTTTCGTGGATCTTAATGTACATGGCATTGATTATGAGACGGAATCCCAGCCTGGAGACAAGAGTGACGGCCATGCATTCCATGGGCTGCACTGTGGCCTTGGATCTGCTGCTGCCACCCTGCACACTCCCTGCTGCTCTCGGCCCAGTGGGTGAGGAAGGAGCCACTCAGGAGGTCTCACGCCCAGAGAGTGGTATCTGGAATGGACCTCAGGTTGGCTCTGGTGCCCAGGCCAAAGACCCTTTCAGGCAAAATTGTGACAAAGTATCATGATTTTCACAGCTCTTGAGGAGCGCTGAATTTTGGGATTCACAGCATGAGTTTCTGGGCTCTTCAGGCTCCGAATAAGGCAAACGCTACATGTCTTTTCACTGTACCTCCCTCCGCTGCCATAGCTTAGAGTAAGGTCAGTAAGAAAAGTGGACATGATCTGCTTTAACAGGCGATGAGGTACATCCGAATTCATGGAGACATGAAGCTGGAAAGGAGACCAAAAGCAAAAAAAAGGAGGGAATGTGGGGGGAGGAGGCAAACACAGCTAGAAACTTAAAGATGGGGAAAAAAAAAGTTGAAAGTTTCAGTGAAAAGCTGATGGGCAGAACCCTGATTGGACCTGAGATTTCTCCTCTTTCCCATATTAAAAACACTAAACCTCCGGAGGTGAGTGATAGCTAGGTTGTAATTAACTTTAACTTCCCACTGCTTGGAGAGGGAAGTTCCCATATCAGAATCTGTACCAACTCCACCCCAGAACCAGACCTCCTGTAGCTCTAGGCAGGTAGGTGGTATGCCAGCAGCTGATAACCATGTCCCATCATGGTTAGGGACTTTGGGCCTGGAGGACCCGACCGCATTGTGGCTGGCTAGGTCGGTGGTGAAACTGAAAGTTAAGACAGGTGTGGCTGAGTGCAGCTGGAGCCTATGAATATACATCACCTTCAGGTAAGTAATTTCAAGTGTGCTGTGGGGGGACCCCCTTCTCAACTTTGGAGCAGGGGAAGGGCCCTAGCCAGAGGGTAGGCCAAGAATTTCAACAAAGGGCAGGGCTGGCCTCAGAGCAACTTCTCTCCTACACTGTCAGGACAAGGAAGGAGGCTCAGCTAGCTCAGCTGTTTCATCCAGTCCTCTGTACCCAGGCACCCATGTTCCAAACTCCTGCTCCTGGCCCTTTGAGTACCACACCTGTAATGTGCACAGCCAAAACTATCTCTGCCATGATACCACAGCTGTGCCAACCTCCACTGTTGTCTCTGGGAAACACAGCTGCCACATCACTGCATCTACAATGGCAACGGAGCTGGCAAACAGGACTCTGTTGACTCACTGCTAGTCTGCAACCTGTCCAGCAGGAGCTCCCTAAACATGCCTGGACAAGGGCACAATGTACTATTCATTCCACTCCCTCGAGCAAACAAGTCAGAGAGAAACATTTAGTGTCTAAAAACTCTGTCCCAGAAAGGGAGAGGTACTGGGTGAAACATAGGTCGTGTCTACACAGTCTGGGCAAAGTGGATGTAGAATGACAGAATCTGATTAGTATCATTCAGAGCCAGTGTGAAAACCTGGCCCTCTTCTAATTGTATTTGGCCATGGCCTTGGAAGCCTCCATGGATGTGTATTTGTCTCAATGCTATGTCTGAGGCAGTGGGCTGAGAAGACAGATGTGGCACACTTTTCTTTCTGGCTCATGTCAGTTTTTATGCTCCAGTGTGGCATAGACTGTCAACCTGCAAAGGCAAGGCACATAAAGACTCCCCCACCCCCACCCCGTCTCCCCATCCACTAGCAAATGGGGAAGTAAAAGAAACCTAGGAGCGCTGGCCAACATTCCAGGCTGTGCCACTCACTTTTCTCCAACAGACTGACTTGGAAATGTCCCTAAAACTCTGACACTTCCCAGAGGCGGCTGCTCCATGGCAGTGGCTCCCAGGAGGATGGAAAAGGTGATGCTGGTGTTCTGATGCTGACTTTAGCAACCCACTCACCAGCCAAGGAATGTTAATTCTCTAAACTCTTGTTTTGAGAGAGAGAAACAGAAAGCCCTAGAGAAGGAGGGGAAGGGGAGCAGGATATAGGCACACAGGACTTCGGTGGAAAAGGAACAAGACCTTGAGGCTGCTGACACACAGCATCTCTCTGCCCACAGACTCCTGCAGTCACAAACTCAGAAACTCGGTTAACTCTGGCATTCAACAGTTCCCGCAGATGTGACATAGGAGCCCAGGGTACAATGAGGTAGCCCTCAATGGGCCTGAACCACAATTCTGACTCTCTCTCCACTCTTGAAGCAAGCTGCTGGGAGAGCTGCAAACGCTGTGGGTCACCCTGTATCACAGCCTGTGCCGTTGTACTCAATTTTGTTACCTAACACCATTTCAGATAAAAACCATTAAGACCACAGTCAACCTTAGTATTTTCTCAATGATCAGGAGAGAAACCTGCTTTTACTTAAATCACTAAAATAAATACATGTACTTGGTGGGCAAGAATAAGAACCCAGATGAAAAAAAGTGCTCCCTCTAATGAGTTACACTAGAAGCCGGAGATGGGGAAGGGATTGCCTGAAACATATGAATAGGAAAATGTCTCTTCCATGCACTGATCAACTGGGTCAAATGCCTATCATGTATTCTTAAGACATGTATTGTTTTTCTCCTTAAAAAATTGTTCTAAAATCACATTTAAAGGCTCCAAACATGCAGCAATAATAGTACAAAAACAAAACAAAGGAAAGAAAAAGAAAATAAAACAAATGAAAATAATCCACACCACAACATTAAAAAGTGCAACTTACTTCGAATGGGGCCTGGACGGGCTCCTCTGGCACTAGTGACCCACAGTCACAGAGGGGAGAAAACGATGGGAAAAAGCCACACACACACACACACACACACTCTCTCTCTCTCTCTCTCTCTCTCTCACACACACACACACACACACACACACACACACACACACACACATATACTCACATCAACAGGTTCTGGGCAGACAAAAGATTAGAAAACACAACAGCTCATCTTTCCTCAACTACTGAAATGAGCCAGTTAGACCACGCAGGACAGGACGCCAGGTCCCCCCTCCCTAGGCCACATTTCTAATAATCTTGGTCTAGCACCACCGTAAACAAAGTGGAACTTTCATATGGACGTGCAAATCCTGTGAGTCCTTGGAATCCTAGTGTTACTGAAGATAGGCTGCTGCTTCCTCCTGTGGATGGCAGAGACTGAGAGGAAGAGGCTGGATGTCGTTCAGGTCCATTTCCAGGAGAAAGGGAGCATTCCTGAGGTTCTATACTCAGCAGTAAAAGTAGAGGACCCTCCTTCACCAGTTTCTAAAAAGGCTGCACCTTGAAATAGGTAAAAATTCACGGACCGTGCATTTCTGAGTGGTTTGGCGGTAGGGCAAAATTAGGCAACCTCTTTCAAGGAGGCCCTCCCCCCCCTCCGATTAAAAAAAAAAAAAAAAAAAAAAAACAACTATAATTGAGACCTCGAAACTGAATTGCCTCTCAACAACCTGATGATGGTTCCTGCTCCTCTTCCTTGGCAAAGAAGGTCTCCAGTTCCATTAGTTTCTGTATCAAAAGAGCATCCAGCTCTTGACTCTGCACAGCTGCCTTCTGGGCCCTCGTAAAGCTGCCTGCCACCTTGACTTTACCTCGAGCTCTCCTCTTTCGTGGGACTGTAAAATCCTGAAATTCTAGAACTCGCTTCCTCTTCTGTTGGCTGATTGAGATTAGCGTACCATTTCGTTCCTTGGGTTCCTCAAAGATGGTCTCTAAACACCTAAGGATAAAGCATGAAATGGAATCACCAACGAACTGACTCACATGGCCCATCCTGTCAACAAGGGTCAGGATGTTGACATTCCTGGGTCAACAACCTTTCTAGTCAACAAGGACTGAAAGCTACTTGTGCCAACTCTTCTTTTTTTCTTTGTTTTTTGAGACAGGGTTTTGCTGTTGTTGCCCAGGCTGGAGTGCAGTGGCATGATCTCAGCTCACTGCAACCTCTGCCTCCCAGGTTCAAATAATTCTCCTGCCTCAGCCTCCCAAGTTGCTGGGATTATAGGTATGCACCGCCATGATTGGTTAATTTTTTTTTTTTTTTTGAGACAGAGTCTCACACTGTCAGCAGGCTGGTATGCAGTGGCACGATCTTGGCTCACTGCAACCTCCAACTCCCAGGTTTCAGCAATTCTCCTGCCTCAGCCTCCCAAGTAGCTAGGATTATAGTCATGAGCTGCCATGTCCAGCTAAGTTTTTTTTTTTGAAACAGAGTCTCAATCTGTCACCCAGGCAATCTTGGCTAACTGCAACCTCTGCCTCCCAGGTTTAAGCAATTCTCTGCCTCAGCCTCTCAAATAGTTGGAATTACGGGCGCCCGCCACCACACATAGCTAATTTTTATATTTTTAGTAGAGACCGGGTTCCACTATCTTGGCCAGGCAACTTGAACTCCTGATCTCATGATCTACCTGCCTCGGCCTCCCAAAGTGCTGGGATTGCAGGTGTGACCCACTGTGGCCAGCCACACCTGGCTAATTTTTGCATTTTTAGTAGAGATGGGTTTTCGTCATGTTAGCCAGGCTGGTCTGAAACCCTTGACCTCACGTGATCCACCCACCTTGGACTCCCAAAGTGCTAGGATTACAGGCCAATGTGAGCCACCGTGCCCTGCTACTTGCACTAACTACTTTAGAGTTGATTGTGGTGTCCTCTGACTAGTAGTATCTATTTTTTGTCAGGGCCGGGGGAACCCCATATATATGCTAGATGAACATAATTCACACTGCATGAAGGGTATAGAATAAAATAAGATCAACCCCATAGGCAACATCAATAACACTTTTTTGTGTATCCTCCCAAAAGTCATTCAAGTATAGACATGCATAAATAACCATGTATTATCAGGGGTCAGTCCTTTTCTGCAAAGGCCCAGATATAAAACATTTCAAACCCTGTGAGCACAGAAGTCTCTATTACAAATTATTTCTTCTTTTATTTTTTTTTAAGAGATAGAGTCTCAATGTTACCTAGATGGGCCTTGAATTCCTAGGCTCAAGCAATCCTCCCACCTCAGCTTTCCTAGTAGCTGGAACTACCGGTATGGGTCACTGCACTTAAGGGCCTCCTTCTTTCTCTAAACAGCCCTCTAAATGTGTAAAAATCTGCCAGGTGCAGCAGCACTGCCTGTAATGCCAGCACTTTGGGAGGCGAAGGCGTGCAGATCTCTTGAGGCCAGGAAGTCTACACTAGCCTGGCCAACATGATGAAACCCCATCTCTGTTAAAAATACAAAAATTAGCCAGGCATGGTAGTGGCATGCCTGTAATTCCAGCTACTTAGGAGGCTGAGGGAGAATTGCTTGAACCTGGGAGGCAGAGGTTGCAGTGAGCTGAGAGTGTACCACTGTACTCCAGCCTAGGTGACAGAGTGAGACTCTGTTTCAAAAGAAAAAAATTAAAATAAATAAATAAATAAAAGTATAAAAATCATTCTTGGCTTACAGTCCGTAAAACAAATGAACCACTGACAGAATTCGGTCTGGTTTGCTGACCCATGGCGTATATCCTCCATTTTGGTTTTTCCCTCAAACAGAAATTACATACACTGTCCTATATAAATGTGCGTTTTGACTTTTCATTAACCTTTAAGATGGTCCTAACTTAGTATATAAGTATCTGGCTCATCTTTATTTTTTATTTATTTTATTTTATTTTATTTTTTTTTTTTTTTGAGACGGAGTTTCACTCGTTACCCAGGCTGGAGTGCAATGGCGCGATCTCGGCTCAGTGCAACCTCCGCCTCCTGGGTTCAGGCCATTCTCCTGCCTCAGCCTCCTGAGTAGCTGGGACTATAGGTGTGCGTCATCATCCTCAGCTAATTTTTGTATTTTTAGTAGAGACGGGGTTTCACCTTGTTGACCAGGATGGTCTCGATCTCTTGACCTCATGATCCACCCACCTCGGCCTCCCAAAGTGCTGGGATTATAGGCGTGAGCCACCACGCCTGGCTCATCTTTATTTATTTTACTTTATTTCTAGTTTTTGAGATGAAGTTTTGCTCTTGTTGCCCAGGCTGGAGTGTAGTGGCACGATCTCAGCTCACTGCAACTTCTGTCTCCTGGGTTCAAACGATTCTCCTCCCTCAGCCTCCCAAGTAGCTGAGACTACAGGCATGCATCACTATGCCTGGCTAATTTTTTTTGTATTTTTAGTAGAGATGAGGTTTCACCATTTTGGCTAGGCTAGTCTTGAAATTTTGACCTCAAGTGATCTGCCCTCCTCAGCCTTCCAGTGCTGGGATTACAGGCATGAGCCACTGCACCCAGCCTTGACACATCGTTAAAAAAAAACTTTTTTTTAAAGACAGGGTCTCACTCTGTCACTCAGGCTGGAGTACAGTGGCACAATCACAGCTCACTACAGCCTCTACATCCTGGGCTTAAGCAATCCTCCCACCTCAGCCTCCCAAGTAACTAGGACCATAAGCATGCACTACTATGCCTGGATAATTTAAAAAGAATATTTTTTGTAGAGATGGGGTCTTGCTATGTTGCTCAGGCTGGTCTCCAACTCCTGGGCTCCGTGATCCTCCCTCCTTGGCCTCCCAAAGTGCCAAAATCACAGACATGAGCCACTGTGCCTGGCTCCTGATTCTTTTTTTGTTTTTGAGATGGAGTGCAGCTCTGCTGCCCAGGCTGGACTGCAGTGGCACAATCTTGGCTTACTGCAACCTCTACCTCCTGGGTTCAAGCAATTGTCTTGCCTCGGCCTCCCAAGTAGCTGGGACAACAGGTGCATGCCACCACGCCCAGCTAATTTTTGTATTTTTAGTAGAGACGGGTTTCACAATATTGGTCAGGCTGGTCTCGAACTCCTGACCTCTGGCGCTTCACCCAACTTGACCTCCCAAAGGGCTGGGATTACAGGCATAAGCCATTGCGCCCAGCTGTGATTCATTTTTTTTAATGGTTAGACAATATATTCCATTATAAGGATGAACTGTAAATTATTGAGAACCCTAGTAATAATTTAAAATTTGGGTTGTTTTCAATGCTTTCCTTTTTCTCGTTGTGACAAGGTTTCACTCTTGTCCCTCAGGCTGAAGTGCAGTTGTGTGATGTCAGCTCACTCGAACCTCTGCCTCTCAGACTCGAGGAATTCTCCCGAGTAGCTGGGACTATAGGTATAGGTCACTGTGGCTAATTTTTGTGTTTTTAGTAGAAATGGAGTTTCACCATGTTGCCCAGACTGGTCTTAAACTCCTGAGCTCAAGCAATCTACCTGCCTTGGCCTCCCAAAGTGCTAAGTTGACAGGCGTGAGCCACTGTACCCAGCCTTTATTTATTTATTTTTAGCAATGCTGCAAAGATGTTGTAATCATTATACAAATGTGTTAGAGCAGACATATAAAATCTTGGGATAAAATCCTAGAATTCTTCTTCTATATCCTAGAAACAGAGGGCATTTAACAAGCGTTCACTGACTTGAATTGATTTCAGACCCAAGTAAAACCCTTTCTGTATTTGAGTTTACAATCATACCTGAAAATCAATGATTATCAGTCCTGAAGTCAGCATATTTGGTAAAAATACAAACACAAACTAAAAAAAAGTTTTTTTTTTTTTTTTTTTTTTTGAGATGGGAATTTCGCTCTTGTTACCCAGGCTGGAGTGCAATGGCGCGATCTCGGCTCAGGGCAACCTCTGCCTCCTGGGTTCAGGCAATTCTCCTGCCTCAGCCTCCTTAGTAGCTGGGATTACAGGCAAGCGCCACCATGCCCAGCTAATGTTTTGTATTTTTAGTAGAGACAGGGTTTCACCACGTTGACCAGGATGGTCTCGATCTCTTGACCTCGTGATCCACCCGCCTCGGCCTCCCAAAGTGCTGGGATTACAGGCGTGAGCCACCGCGCTCAGCCCAAAACATTTTTTTTTTTTTTTTTTTTTTTTTTTTTTGAGACGGAGTTTCACTCTTGTTACCCAGGCTGGAGTGCAATGGCGCAATCTCGGCTCACCTCAACCTCCGCCTCCTGGGTTCAGGCCATTCTCCTGCCTCAGCCTCCTGAGTAGCTGGGGTTACAGGCACGCACCACCATGCCCAGCTAATTTTTTGTATTTTTAGTCAGACAGAATTTCACCATGTTGACCAGGATGGTCTCGAACTCTTGACCTCGTGATCCACCCGCCTCGGCCTCCCAAAGGGCTGGGATTACAGGCATGAGCCACCGTGCCCAGCTGAAACATTTTTTTTTTTATGACGGAGTCTCACTCTGTAGCTTAGGCTGAAGTACAGTGGTGTGATCTTGGCTCACTGCAACCTCCGCTTCCTGGGTCTGGGTTCAAGCAATTCTTCTGCCTCAGCCTTCAAAGTAGCTGGGATTACAGACAAACACCACCATGCCCAGCTAATTTTTGTATTTTTAGTAAAGACGAGGTTTTACCATGTTGGCCAGGCGGGTCTTGAACTCCCGACCTCGTGATCCACCTGCCTCAGCCTCCCAAACTGCTGGGATTAGAGGTGTGAGCCACTGCACCTGGTCTTTTTTTCTAAAGACAGGGTCTTGATGGGCGCAGGGGCTCATGCCTGTAATCCCAGCACTTTGGGAGGCTGAGGCAGGCAGAAGGTCGGGAGATCGAGACCATCCTGGCCAACATGGTGAAACCCTGTCTTAAAAAAAAAAAAAAGAAAGAAAGAAAAAAAAAAGGGTCTCACTCTGTTGCCCATGCTGGAGTGCAGTGGCACAATCTTGGCTCATTGCAACTTCCACCTCCTGGGTTCAAGTGATTCTCCTGCCTCAGCCTCCCGATTGGCCTGGGATTACAGGTGTGCGCCACCATGCCTAGCTGATTTTGTATTTTTAGTAGAGACTGAGTTTCACGTTGGCCAGGCTGGTCTCGAACTCCTGACCTCTGTTGATTTGCCTGCCTTGGCCTCCCAAAGTGCTTGGATTACCATGTGAACCACTGTGCCAGGCTGAGACAACATTTTATTTTCTTATATTTTTGGGTTTTTTTTGAGATGGAGTTTCGCTCTTGTTGCCCAGGCTGGAGTGTAATGGCACAATCTCGGCTCACTGCAACCTCCGCCTCTCGCATTCAAGCAATTCTCCTGCCTCAGCCTCCTCAGTAGCTGGAATTACAGGCATGCACCACCAAGCATAGCTAATTTTTGTATTTTTAGTAGAGATGGGGTTTCTCTATGTTGGTTAGCCTGGTCTTGAACTCCCAAGCTCAGGTGATCCATCCACCTTGGCCTTCCAAAGTGCTCGGCTTACAGGCATGAGCCACTACACCTGGCCTATATTTTCTTTATGTAACCTAATACACTATTTCCTATCCTATTACTGACCCTAATTCAAGTGCTGGACTTGAAAAATAACAATTCTAGCTATTTACAAGATCCAGTATTGGTACAACTGAACATAAACTCTAAGGTGAAAGGGCTGGAGATTCATACCAGTCATTTCAAATTCTTCCCTTTTATTTCCCAGCTGTAAGTACCTACCTGTTTGCAGGAGGAGATTTATAATTCTTGTTGGTATATATCTCTTCTAAACTAAACTCTTTCTTCTTTAACCTGAAAAGAGAAAAAAATAGTAATTCTTCATGTTCTCTTTTTTTTTTCTTTTGAGATGGAGTCTCACTCTGTTGCCCAGGCTGGAGTACAATGGTGTGGTCTCGGCTCCCTGCAACCTCTGCCTCCAATTCTCCTACCTCAGCCTCTTGGGTAGCTGGGATTACAGGTGCCCACCACCACGCCAAACTATTTTTTGTATTTTTTTTTTTTTTTTTTTTTTTTTTGAGACGGAGTTTCGCTCTTGTTACCCAGGCTGGAGTGCAATGGCACGATCTTGGCTCACCACAACCTCCCCCTCCCGGGTTCAGGCAATTCTCCTGCCTCAGCCTCCTGAGTAGCTGGGATTACAGGCACACGCCACCATGCCCAGCTAATTTTTTGTATTTTTAGTAGAGACGGGGTTTCGCCATGTTGACCAGGATGGTCTCGATCTCTCGACCTCGTGATCCACCCGCCTCAGCCTCCCAAAGTGCTGGGATTACAAGCTTGAGCCACCGCGCCCGGCCTATTTTTTGTATTTTTAGTAGAGATGGGGTTTCACCATGTTAAGGTCAGGCTGGTCTCAAACTCCTGACCTTGTGATCCGACCACCTGACCTCCCAAAGTGCTGGGATTAGACGTGAGTCACCATGTCTGGTTCGTGTTCTCTTTTTTCTTAGACAAGGTCTTGCTCTGTTGCCCAGGCTGAAGGGCAGTGACCTGATCATAGCTCACTGCACTCTTAACTCCTAGACTCTAGTCATCCTCCAGTCTCAGCCTCCCAAGGGGCTGGAATTACAGGTGTACGCCACCATGCCAGGCTAGATTTAAAAAAAAAAATTTTTTTTTGGTAGAGATAGGGTCTCTCTGTTGCCCAGGCTGGTCTCAAACTGAAGAAATCCACCCAGCTCAGCCTTGCAAAGTGCTGGGATTACAGGTATGTGCTACTGTGCACAGCCTCATGCTCTAAGAGGGAAGAGATTGATTTCCCAATGCTATCCTTTTCATTTGTTCCAACCTGTTGTAATATGTTTTAGATGTGTCTCCTGCAAACACTGTATACTGGATATTCTTTTCCAGGGTACCAACCTTTAACTTTATGTAACTGAGTCCATTCATACTTGCTGGGAATGATAGGTTTATATCTATTATCTTTCATAGATTTATATTTGTATCTATTTTATAGCTGTTGTTTGTGCCACCTTTGTGATGTTTCTTTTCTTTTCATGAATTGACAGTTCTTTCTTTTCTATTATTTTATTTTATTTTTTTGAGATGGAGTCTTGCACTGATGCCCAGGCTATAGTGCAGTGGCGCAATCTCGGCTCGCTGCAATCTCCGCCTCCTGGGTTCAAGTAATTCTCCTGCCTCAGCCTCCAGAGTAGCTGGGTCTACAGGCATGCACCACCACGTCCAGCCACTTTTTTTGTTATTTTTAGTAGAGACGGGGTTTCACCATGTTGGCCAGGATGGTCTCTATCTCCTGACCTCGTGATTTGCCCACCTTGGCCTCCCAAAGTGCTGGGATTACAGGTGTGAGCCACCGTGCTTGGCCTGTTTTTCTTTTTTATCTCCCTCCACTGACTAGAAAACTATATACTCTATTCTCTTTTTTTTTTTCTTTTTTAGAGTTGAAGTCTTTTTCTGTTGCCTAGGAGTACGAGGCTGGGTACAGCCTGGGTGACAAAGACCCTATCTCTCAAAAAAAAAAAAAAAAAAAATCCTTCACACCTATCAACTATACAGCAACCTGAGTTATAGCTTACATAGTAAAAACAGGCCATATGCTTGCTTTTTTCCTTTCATTCCCAACTTCTAAAACAATGAATTGGTTCCCCAGTATCTTGCAAAGATGGCCAATGATTTTTAATTTTTTTAAGTATCATTATGAACTACTGGGTTTATATTTGATATGTTTTAATCTATTGAACATATTCCTTTTGAGGCTCAACTGGTCTCATCTGTGGCCAGAGGGAGTCTCTTCAAATTGATTCCTGAGAGCCAGGCATGGCAGCTCCCAACAGTTGTCCCAGCTACTTGGGAGGCTGAGGCAAGAGGAGGCTGAGGCAAGAGGATTGTTTGAGCCCTGGAGTTCGAGACCAGCCTGGACAACAAAGAGACACTGTCTCTATAAAAAATTAAAAAAAAAAAAAATTAAAAAATAAAAAAACAAACAAAAACTGGCTCCTGAATCCCTTTGAAATGACCCTAGGGCCGGGCGCGGTGGCTCAAGCTTGTAATCCCAGCACTTTGGGAGGCCGAGGCGGGTGGATCATGAGGTCGAGAGATCGAGACCATCCTGGTCAACATGGTGAAACCCCCGTCTCTACTAAAAATACAAAAAATTAGCTGGGCATGGTGGCGTGTGCCTGTAATCCCAGCTACTCAGGAGGCTGAGGCAGGAGAATTGCCTGAGCCCAGGAGGCGGAGGTTGCGGTGAGCCGAGATCGCGCCATTGCACTCCAGCCTGGGTAACAAGAGCGAAACTCCGTCTCAAAAAAAGAAATGACCCTAGGAGTCTCTGAGAGCTCTGCTACTTTCTGGTATGACAAGATACATTCATCTTATTCATTTCCTGCCCTAGACCTGTAATTACTTTCCAAGGAGCTCAGGTTCATATACCAGAAAATTCATTCATTTAAAATGTACAATTCAGTGATTTTTAAAATATTCGCAAGGTTATTCATGATCACCACTATCTAATCTAGACCAATATGTTTTTGTACAGACTGGGCCTTGCTCTGTCACCCAGGCTGGATTGCAGTGGCACAAATATGGCTCACTGTAGCCTCAAATTCCTGGGCTGGACTGAAGAGATCTTCCTGCCTCTGCCTCCCATGTGGCTGGGACCACAGGTATGTGCCACCACAGCTGGCTTATTTTATTTATTTATTTAATTTTTTGAGACGAGTTTTGCTCTTGTTGCCTAGACTGGAGTGTAATGGCCCAATCTCAGCTCACTACAACCTTCATCTCCCGGGTTTAAGCAATTCTCCTGCCTCAGCCTCCCCAGTAGCTGGGATTACAGGTGCCTAACACAATGCCTTGCTAATTTTTGATTTTTTTTTTTTTTTTTTTTTTTTTGAGACTGAGTAGCTTTGATTACAGGTGTGTGCCACTACCGCTCAGCTAATTTTTGTATTTTTAGTAAAGACGGGGTTTCATCATGCTGGCCAAGCTGGTCTCAAACTTCTGACCTCAAATGATCCAACTACCTCAGCCTTCCAAAGTGCTGGGATTACAGGTGTGAGCCAATGTGCCAGGCCTCATGTTGTTTTTTTGTTTGTTTGTTTGTTTTGAGACGAAGTTTCGCTCTTTTTACCCAGGCTGGAGTGCAATGGCGCAATCTCGGCTCACCGCAAACCCCGCCTCCTGGGTTCAGGCAATTCTCCTGCCTCAGCCTCCTGAGTAGCTGGGATTATAGGCTCGCGCCACCATGCCATGCTAATTTTTTGTATTTTTAGTAGAGACGGGGTTTCACCATGTTGATCAGGTTGGTCTCGATCTCTCGACATTGTGATCCACCCACCTCGGCCTCCCAAAGTGCTGGGATTACAGGCTTGAGCCACCACGCCCGGCCCATGTTGTTTTAATAATGCACAGGTTAGCACTATTGGGTTATTAAGAGTTTCCATAATCTGAAAATCCCAAATATGAAATGCTCCAAAATCTGAAACTTTGAGTGCCAACATGATGATCAAAGGTCATGTTCACTGGGAATGCTCATTAGGAGCTCACTGGAGCACTTAGGATTTTGGATTTTCAGATTAGGGATGCTGTAAGTATAATGCAAATATTCCAAAATCTGAAAAACTCTAAAGTCTGAAACATTTTAGGTCCCAAGAATTTGGATAAGAGATAGTCAACCTGCATTATTAAAATGAATAAATTATGACTTTAAGGTTTTTAGAAATCTACTTTACAATTTGCACTCCATAATTTATTTCTCAGTGATTTGTATCATTTTAAAAGGATAAATTAACATATTTACTTGAACTGGAAAACATAAGTCAGGAAGAACGATCTGCTTGACGGACCTAAATAATAAATTGTTTTCATCAATTAAATTATATGCCCAGGTTTTTCCATAAACTTAAATGTACAAAAATCTGCAGCTTCAGGTTTCTTGTTGTGGTGGTGGTTGTTTTTTGGACAAAAGTACATTTGATTAAAAGCATTTTATCGGCCGGGCGCGGTGGTTCAAGCCTGTAATCCCAGCACTTTGGGAGGCCGAGGCGGGTGGATCACGAGGTCAAGAGATTGAGACCATCCTGGTCAACATGGTGAAACCCCGTCTCTACTAAAAATACAAAAAAATTAGCTGGGCGGCATGGTGGCACGTGCCTGTAATCCCAGCTGCTCAGGAGGCTGAGGCAGGAGAATTGCCTGAACCCAGGAGGCGGAGGTTGCGGTGAGCCGAGATCGCGCCATTAAACTCCAGCCTGGGTAACAAGAGTGAAACTCCGTCTCAAAAAAAAAGAAAAAAAAAAAGCTTTTATCAAAAGACATCCTAGGTTTAGGCAAAATTTATTAAAAATCGTATTTTTCTCAACCTCCTTTCAGTATATGGGAAAGAATATCTGGCATTTGACATATGCTGGATCTTTCTGGTGTTGGTTCCAGACACTGAGACAGTAACTGCCAACCAAGGCCTGGGTAACAGAACAGAACCTCTGTAACTGAGTGCTTTTCAATCTCGTGTTTTCATTACAGATGATAGATCTCTGTGATTTTTTGGCACATAACTTGAAAGAAGTGGAAAGAATTGAATGACTTTACTAAACTAAAACTCTTTCCTCTCCTAGCTACTTATTTATGTAAACAAGGTTCTTCAGACATACAAATGCCAAGAGAGAATACAACTGATAATAAATCCTATTTCATTTGAATAATAAATACTATTTGCTCTCCGATATCTGAAATATTTTTAATATTTTTTTTAATTTTTAAAATTTTTTTAATGAGCTCAGGACTTTAAATGCCAAGCTCAAGGTTTGATTACAGGAGCAGGATGCTTTTTTTTTTTTTTTTTTTGAGACGAGTCTTGCTATCACCTGGCTGTAGTGCAGTGGCACAATCCCAGCTCACTGCAACCTCCGCCTCCTGGGTTCAAGCGGTTCTTCCACCTCAGCATCCTGAGTAGCTGGGACCACAGGCACGTGCCACCATGCCCGGCTATTTTTTGTATTTTTACTATAGACGAGGTTTCACCATGTTGGCCAGGTTGGTCTCGATCTCTTAACCTCGTGATCCGTCTGCCTCGGCCTCCCAAAGTGCTGGGATTACAGGCGTGAGCCACCGCGCCCGGCCTGAAATATTTTTTAAATTTCTCTTGAAAAGACATACGATAGATCAACAAAATATCCGTAAGACAAAAATATAAAAAATTAAGATCAAGATCAAGATTATGGGAAAGAAGGGGAACATCAATCATGATCCTAACAAATGATTTTTTATTTGTGTTGTGTGAAACACTGTCATAGATATAGTACAGATTCTACTCTCAATTAGATTGTATAGAAACTGTATAGAAATATAAATGTTGGGAATTCTTATTCATATTTTACAGGGAAGTCCACTGTTAGTATTCCATTTGCTGATAAGAAATGAGGAGCAAAATTGATCACAAGAAAATATAAGTCTGAAGATCATTTTTAAAAGAAACTAAACTCAGGACTTTTAGGACCTTTTCCAGTTTAGTGCACAGAGTATTAGGGCTTGGGCTCTGGGGCTGGGTAAACCCCGTGACAGACAGAAACCACATGTGCCAGGATCAATGCTACGGCCTAACACAGGTCCCTCCTAGTGGCACTGGAGGGTGAACTAAGATTATGTATGCAATGTATTAAAATGTACTTGCATATAAATATCTAGCGACATCACTAATTAAATCTTTAGGATAAATTCTTAGAAGATTAATAAATGGCTCAGACTGTAAGACCATTTAAAGGGGTAATTATATTCCGACAAATAATTTTCGAAAAAAGTGAACCTAGCTTGTATCAGAGAAGGAGCTCACCTTTTGGGTCGAGGAAGGCCCATGGGGGTAAGATTCGGATCTGGCCTAGGAATAGCTTTCCGGATGCGAATCTGTGAGACTTTCTTTGGCCTCTTCTCTGGCTCAGCCTGTTTTTAAGGATTAAGAAAAAAGATGGTCAAGTTGTAAGACATTTTATTTATTTATATATATATATATATATATATATTTTTTTTTTTTTTTTTTTTTTTGAGACGGAGTTTCACTCTTGTTACCCACGCTGGAGTGCAATGGTGTGATCTCGGCTCACCGCAACCTCCGTCTCCTGGGTTCAGGCAATTCTCCTGCCTTAGCCTCCTGAGTAGCTGGGATTACAGGCACGCACCACCATGCCCAGCTAATTTTTGTATTTTTAGTAGAGACGGGGTTTCACCATGCTGACCAGGATGGTCTCGATCTCTTGACCTCGTGATCCACCCGCCTCGGCCTCCCAAAGTGCTGGGATTACAGGCTTCAGCCACCGCGCCCGGCTTATTTATGTATTTTTTCAGACCAGGTCTTACTACTCTGTTACCCAGGCTGGTGTGCAGTGGTGCAATCACAGCTCACTGCAGCCTTCAACTCCGGGACTCAAATGATCTTCCTGCCTTGGCCTCTCAAAGTGCTGGGGTTACAACAAGTAAAAGCCACCATATTTGGCAACTTCTATTTTTATTTATTTATTTATTTATTTTTATTTTTATTTTTTTTGAGACAGTGTTTCGCTCTTGTTGCCCAGGCTGGAGTACAATGGCGCGATCTCGGCTCACCGCAACCTTCGCCTCCTGGGTTCAGGCAATTCTCCTGCCTCAGCCTGCTGAGTAGCTGGGATTACAGGCACACGCCACCATGCCCAGCTAATTTTTAGTATTTTTAGTAGAGACGGGGTTTCACCATGTTGACCAGGATGGTCTCGATCTCTCGACCTCGTGATCCACCCGCCTCGGCCTCCCAAAGTGCTGGGATTACAGGCTTGAGCCACCGCGCCCGGCCTGGCAACTTCTATTTTTAAATGGAGTCTTGCTATATTGCCCAGGCGGGCCAGGAACTACTCGGCTCAAGTGATCCTTTTGCCTCAGCCTCTGTGGTAGCTAGCACTATAGGCATATGTCATCACCCCGGCATACCGTAAGATATTTTATTTATTTATTTATTTTTTTGAGACAGAGTTTTGCTCGTTACCCAGGCTGGAGTGTAATGGCACAATCTCGGCTCACCTCAACCTCTGCCTCCTGAGTTAAGGCAATTCTCCTGCCTCAGCGTCCTGAGTAGCTGGGATTACAGGCACACACCACCATGCCCAGCTAATTTTTTCTTTTGTATTTTTAGTAGAGACGGGGTTTCACCATGTTGACCAGGATGGTCTCGATCTCTTGACCTCATGATCCACCGGCCTCGCCTCCCAAAGTGTTGGGATTACAGGTGTGAGCCACCGCGCCCGGCCAAGACATTTTAAATATATAAAGTCCCTTGTCTTGACACTTAAGACATTGCTACCTCACTTCAGAGATGATTCTAGTAAGTAGTTTATGACAAAGCTCCCACTTATATTCCTGCTGGTTTTTAATTTTAATTTTATTTATTTATTTATTTTTGAGATGAAGTCTCACTCTGTCACCCCGGCTGGAGTCCAGTGGTGCAATCTTGGCTCACTGCAACCTCCACCTGTCGGGTTCAAGCAATTCTCCTGCTTCAGCCTCCTGAGTAGCTGGGACTACAGGCATGTGCCACCACACCCAGCTAATTTTTGTATTTTTAGTAGAGGTGGGGTTTCAACATGCTAGCCAGGCTGGTCTCAAACTCCTGATCCCAGGCAATCTGCCCGTCTTGGCCTCCTAAAGTGCTGGGATTACGGGCATGAGCCACCGTGTCTGGCCTTTTATTTATTTATTTTTTAGATGGAGTCTTGTGCTGTTGCCAGGTTGGAGAGAGTGGTGTGATTTTGGCTCACTGCAACCTCTGCCTCCCAGGTTCAAGTGATTCTCTTGCCTCAGCCTCCTGAGTAGGTGGGATGACAGGAGCGTGCCACTAGGCCTAACTAATTTTTTTGTATTTTTAATAAAGACAGGTTTCTCCCTGTTGGCCAGGATGGTCTTGATCTCCTGACCTCATGATTTGACCACCTCAGTCTCCCGAAGTGTTGGGAATACAGGCGTGAGCCACCATGCCTGCTCTTTTATTTATTTATTTATTTTTATTTTTTGAGACGGAGTCTCACTCTGTCGCCCAGGCTGGAGTGCAATGGCACACTCTTGGCTTACTGCAACCTCCACCTCCCAGGTTCAAGCAATTCTCCTGCCTCAGCCTCCCAAGTAGCTGGGATTACAGGTATGCACCACCATGCCCGGCTAATTTTTATATTTTTAAGTAAAGACCAGGTTTCACCATGTTGGTTAGGTTGGTCTTGAACCCCTGACCTCATGATCTGCCCGCCTCAGCTTCCCAAAGTGCTAAGATTACAGGTGTAAGCCACTGTGCCTGGCTCTTATTTATTTTTTATTTTTATTTATTATTATTATTATTATTTTCTTATTTTTTTTTTAAGATGGGGTTTCGCTCTGTCACTGAGGCTGGAATGCAGTGACACGATCTGGGCTCACTGCTACAACCTCTGCCTCCCCAGCTCAAGCAATTCTCCCTTCTCAGCCTCCCAAGTAGCTGGGACCACAGGTGTGTACCACCACAGGCAGCTAATTTTTATATGTTTTGTAGAGACAGGGTTTCACCATGTTGCCCAGGCTGTTCTTGAACTCCTGGACTCAAGCTATGCGCCCGCCTCAGCCTCCCAAAGTGATAAAATTACAAGTGTGAGCCACCGTGCCTGGCCCCGGCTGTGTTTTAAGCAACTACTCCCTTCTTATCATCAAAACCAGAACTATACATTCAGTTCAGATATTGAGACTATCAACATGAAAGTCTGCAACTGTCAAAGACAGAAGATGTTGCAAAATTAAATATTATCACTATCCACTCATCTTCTTTGAATGTACAAAGCAACTCTTTGGTCCAATTCTCTAAACACCGTTATATGCTGTTGCCAAGAAAAAAGCATCTGGAAAACAACGCAAATTAAAATATCCACTGTGTCTTTTACTGGCCAAGAGAAAAACTCCTGGCTTAGTACTCTCCAGAACTCTGCTGACACTAAAAGTCATTCGTGAAGATACTCAGGGGCCAGTCTAACTATCACATGATGTGAGTTAACAATGGCCACCTCCAATGCCACCATCACTTGACCCCACCAGCACTTTACACTTACCTCTTTCTGTTCCGGAGGGCTGCTCTGTGGGCAGGGGCATGTTGCCGTCACACCATCCAGCTCATCCAACCCAGGAACTTGGAACTCAGAGGCTGAAAGCAGGAGCTTGCTGACAGCTGATTCTGCTACCAAGCAAGACTTTGGTACCAAGGCAGGGAATGGAGGCTCCAACCTAGTACCAGGGAGTGAAAGAGAAGAAAGATATGAGTGGGGTTCCCTTTCTACCTCCAGGACATTCAACTAGGTCTAACATTTACGCCTCAAGACATTTTCTTTCTTTCTAGGAATAATATATCTAGTTAACCTGCCTTCTAGTCACTTCCAGACATAGCCTGTGTCTACATATGTAAGAAAAATTATGGCCAGGTGCAGTGGCTCAGGCCTGTAATCCCAGCACTTTGGGAGGTCAAGGTGGGCGGATCACAAGGTCAAGAGATTGAGACCATCCTGGCCAACAGGGTGAAAACCCATCTCTACTAAAAAATACAAAAATTAGCTGCGTGTGGTCGTATGTGCCTGTAGTCTCAGCTACTAGGGAGGCTGAGGCAGGAGAACTGCTTGAACCCAGGAGGCGATTTCAGTGAGCTGAGATTGTGCCACTGCACTCTAGCCTGGTGCCTGGCGACAGAGCAAGACTCTTTAAAAAAAAAAAAAATTATAAGAATGTGCAATCGGGAAAGAGATCCAAGATGGCTGATCACTAGCAGCTCGGGATTGTAGCTCCCAGTGAAAACGCAAAGAACAAGAGGACGCCACACCTTCACATGAATTCTTGTTGCTCACGCACCAGGAGATTCCCAGCGGAGGAGCCCCACGGGTCGCCAGCGCGACTCTTGTGACCGGCGAGGCGGTTTTGCCGGCGCCTCGGAGCGTCGGTTCTTGGTGCAGAGTCAGAAAAGCACCATCAATCTTAACGCCGCTGACTTAGTCGGCACAGTGGGTTGCTCAGATTTCGGCGCTGAGAATCAATAAGTTGGACGTCCACTCAGAAACCCAATTACAAAGACGGTAATTATAAAGACCACAGATGGATAAATCTACAACGAAGGGAAGAAAACAGTCAAAAAAGACTGAGAATACCCAAGATCAAAATGCCTCTTCCTCAGCAGGGGATCCCAGTTCCTCATCAGCAACGAAACAAGGCTTGATGGAGAAGGAGTGTATTCCAATTACAGAAGCAGGCTTCAAAACGTGGATAATAAGAAACTTCTGTGAATTAAAAGAACTTGTTCTAACACAATCTAAAGAAACTAAGAACTTTGAAAAAAGGTTTGACGAAATGTCAACAAGAATACAAAATTTAGAGAGGAAAATAAGTGAATTGATGGAGCTGAAAAACACAATACGAGAACTACGTGAAGTATGCACAAGTTTTAACAGCCGAATTGATCAAGGAGAAGAAAGGATATCAGAGGTCGAAGACCAACTCAATGAAATAAAACTAGAAGACAAGATTAGAGAAAAAAGGATAAAAAGGAACGAGCAAGGTCTCCAAGAAACATGGGACTATGTGAAAAGACCTAATCTACGCTTGATAGGTGTACCTGAATGTGACGAAGAGAATGAATCCAAGCTGGAAAATATGCTTCAGGATATTACTCAGGAAAATTTTCCCAACTTAGTAAGACAGGATAATATTCAACTCCAGGTAATACAGAGAACACCACAAAGATATTCCTCAAGAAGAGCAACTCCAAGGCACATAATCGTCAGATTCACCAGGTTTGAAATGAAGGAGAAGATACTAAGGGCAGCCAGAGAGAAAGGTCAGGTTACCCACAAAGGGAAGCCTATCAGACTTACAGCAGATCTCTCAGCAGAAACCCTACAAGCCAGAAGAGAGTGGGGACCAGTATTCAACATCCTTAAAGAAAAGAACTTTCAACCAAGAATTTCACATCCAGCCAAACTAAGCTTCATAAGTGAAGGAAAAATAAAGTTTTTTGTGAACCCAAGCAAGCACTCAGAGAATTCATCACCACCAGGCCTGCTTTACAAGAGCTTCTGAAAGAACCATTACACATAGAAAGGAACAAACAGTATCAGCCTTTCTAAAAAATATCAAAAAGCAATATATCATTATTAATTCTAAATTTAAATTGACTAAATTCCCCAATTCAAAGACAGACAGGCAATTTCGACAAAAAACTAAAACTGTATGCTGCATCCAGACCCATCTCACATTCAAGGATACACAAAGACTCAAAACAAGGGATGGAGAGAGACTTACCAACCAACCAGAGAGCAAAAATAAATAAATAAAAAGCAGAAGTTACAATTTTCACCCCAATAAAATAGTATTTAAAGCAACAAAGATCAAAAGAAGCAAAGAAGGACATTATATAATGATAAAAGAATCAATGCAACAACAAGAAGAGTTAATGGTCCTAAATATATACGCACCCAATACAGGAATACCCAGACATACAAGACTTATAAAGAGACTTAGACTCCCACACAATAATAGTGGGAGACTTCAACATTAATATTAGACAGATCAATGAGACAGAAAATTAACAACGATGTCCAGGACTTGAACTCAGATCTGGAACAAGTGGATGTAATTAACATTTATAGAGCTCTCCACTTTACACAAAATGTACACTCTTATCAGTACTACATCATATCAACTTAGAAGTTTAAACGAAATGTTGGTTGGCTCCTTGTTTGTTACTCTCTTCCCTCATTTTCTTTCATGTCTCCATTATTAAGGACAACTATAGGCATACCCATATTTAGACTGCATTCTAGCCCGGGCAACAAAGCAATACCCCCATTCTCTCTCCCTCTTCCTCTTTCTCTTTCTTCCTCTTCTTTATTCTTTTTCTTATTATTCTTTTTCTCTTTCCAAAAAAAAAAAAATCACCGGACCAAAAAAAAAAAAAAAACAAGAATGTGCAATCAATTTCATTGCTATGAAGTTTTATAAGAAAAAATGTAAAAAGGAACACTTTTTAGGTGGGAAGATACCTTTTAAACTGCACAAATGAACAGCGATCAGATGAGTTCAATCCTGTCCAGGGACTGAAGTTGACAATAAAACATGAAATAACTTGAAAGGGGACTTCTGGTACCATAAGCTGGCTAGAGATTTTCACTTTTTTAACAAATGGTATTGATTACACATTCCTAGTTGCTGCTTGTAATAGAACACATTTCAATCTCAGAGATGTTTATCTGAGAGACATAGATCAGGTTTATGAGAGGTCAGAGTCATGCCACAGGTGATCCATGCCACCTATGCGCGCACTCTCTCTTGCACACACACGCGCAGGCACACACACATACACACACTGAGCCCTCATGTGCTTACCTCGTCTGACTGCCGCTGGTGTTATATGTAGCTTCCATGCCTGGAAGAGGCACATATGGTAACATGGTGTGGCTAAAGTAAAGCAAAAGCACAAAAGCAACAGGTAAGGGCAGTGGGATAACAGGAAAGGTTTTGATGTTATTGTCAGTATTAGCACATGATATTTAGCCCCAAGAAGACAAGAAATGTCAGTTAACCAGAAAGAGGAAAGCTTCCCAACTAGGAGAGTTACATTTATGAGCCCATCACTGGAATGGAGGTAGACTGACAGGAAGATTATTTTCTAACTTAAATGGAAAGAAGACAGAGACAGAATAAAGGTGGCTGGGCAAGGTGGCCGATGCCTATAATCCCAGCACTTTGGCAGGCTGAGGTGGTCAGATCACTTGAGCCTAGGAGTTCGAGACGAGCTTGTGCAATACGCCGAGACCCTGTCTCCACAAAAAATACAAAAATTAGCCAGGGGTGATGGAGTGCACCTAGCTACTCAGGAGGCGAAGGTGAGAAGACTGCTTGACCCTGGAAAGTCAAGACTGAAGTAAGCCAAGACTGTACCACTGCACTTCAGCCTGAGTGACAGGGCAAGACCCTGTCTCTAAATACATAAAAATTTAAAGAATATATTATACCACTCAACTGTGTACTGATTCTATTAAAATCTCTCAGTTTCTACAACCTTATAAAATATCAGAGAGAAAAGAATTTTTTTAAAGCCAAGTTACACATAAAAAGTAACTATATAGCCTGGGCATGGTGGCTCATGTGTATAATCCCAGCACTTTGGGAGGCTGAGGTGGGCAGATCACTTGAGGTCAGGAGTTTGAGACCAGCATGACCAACATGGCAAAACCCTGTCTCTACTAAAAATATGAAAATTAGCTGGGCATGGTGGTGGGTGCCTTTAATCCTGCTACTCGGGAGGCTGAGGCATGAGAATCACCTGAACCCCGAAGGCAGAGGTTGCAGTGAGCTGAGATAACACCACTACACTCCAGCCTGGGCGATGGAGCAAGACTGTCTCAAAAACTAAACAAAACAAAACAACATAGCCATATAGAAGAAAACTATTAAAAGTCAATTTCTTTATAATTAAACTCTTCTTTTTTGAGACAGAGTCTCGGTTTTTCACCCAGGCTGGAGTACAGCGGTGCAATCTCAGCTCACTGCAACCTCTGCCTCCTGGGTTTTCAAGGGATTCTCCTCCTCAGCCTCCTAAGTGGCTGGGACTACAGGCATGCACCACCACACCTGGCTAATTTTTGTATTTTTAGTAGAGATGGGGTTTCACCATGTTGCCCAAGCTGATCTCAAACTCCTGACCTCACATGATCTGCCCACATCGGCCTCCCAAAGTGCTGGGAGTACAGGCTTGAGCCACAGTGCCCAGCTTTAAACGCTTATTTTTCATAGAGATGAAACAGTAGTATTCACCACTTGTAGATACATTAATAAGTGATGTTGGAGAGCTTTTTGCGCCTCTCAAATTAAAACCTGCATCAGTTTCTACAGAACTTAAACACACTGCAAGTTTAATTAACCAGAGGTGTATGTGATGACTATACAACACATCTCCTCTCTAAAGTAAAAGGAATTTTTTTAACAGCTAGGAAAAACACAGGTAATTTTTTTTTTTTTTTTTTTTGAGACAGAGTCCCACACTGTTGCCTGGGCTGGAGTATAATGGTGAGATCTTGGCTCGCTGCAACCTCCACCTCCCGGGTTCAAGAGATTCTTCTGCCTCAGCCTCCCAAGTAGCTGGGATTACAAGAATCCATCACCACACCCAGCTAAATTTTTGTATTTTTAGTAGAGACAGGGTTTCACTATTTTGGCCAGGCTGGTCTAGAACTCCTGACCTTGTGATCCACCCACCTCGGCCTCCCAAACTGCTGGGATTACAGGCATGAGCCACTGAGTCTGGCCAATTTTTTTATAAAGATGGGGCTTCACCATGTTAGCCAGGTTGGTCTCCATCTCTTGACCTTGTGATCCGCCCTCCTTGGCCTCCCAAAGTGCTGGGATTACAGGCATGTGCCACTGTGCCTGGCCTAGTTTTTTTTTTTTTTTTTTTTTTTTGGAGACGGAATGTCGCTCTGTTGCCCAGGCTGGAGTGCAATGGCAAAATCTCAGTTCACTGTAACCTCTGCCTACCGGGTTTAAGGGATCCCCCTGCCTCAGCCTCTGAGTAGCTGGAATTACAGGCACACACCACCACACCCAGCTAAATTTTTTATATTTGTTGTAGAGACAGGGTTTCACCACATTGGCCAGGCCTGCCACGGCATCCCAAAGTGCTGGGATTACAGACATGAGCCACTGCGCCTGGCCTCAACGAGCACACTATTTTTTTTTTTTTTTTTTTTTTTTTTTTTTTTTTTTTTGAGACGGAGTTTTCGCTCTTGTTACCCAGGCTGGAGTGCAATGGCGCGATCTCGGCTCACCGCAACCTCCGCCTCCTGGGTTCAGGCAATTCTCCTGCCTCAGCCTCCTGAGTAGCTGGGATTACAGGCACACGCCACCATGCCCAGCTAATTTTTTGTATTTTTAGTAGAGACGGGGTTTCACCATGTTGACCAGGATGGTCTTGATCTCTCGACCTCGTGATCCACCCGCCTCGGCCTCCCAAAGTGCTGGGATTACAGGCTTGAGCCACCGCGCCCGGCCAACCAGCACACTTTTTAATGACACACGATGATTCTACATTAGAGACATATGAACAAGACTCTCCTAAGCTATTTGGAATATTAATGCTCTTTTGCTCTCTAATTTTTCAACTATAGCAATGGTAAAAGCAAATTAAAAAATAATTTCTGTCTACCTAAAGACTTACAAAGAGGTCAGGCATGGTAATCCCAGCACTTTAGGAGGCCAAGGAGGTAGATCACCTGAGGTCAGGAGTTCAAGACCAGCCTGGCCAACCTGGTGAAACGCTGTCTCTACTAAAGATACAAAAAAAAAAAAAGCCAGTTTTGGTGGCAGGTCCCTGTAATCCCAGCTACTTGGGAGTCTGAAGCAGGAGAATTGTTTGTCTGAACCCAGGAGGTGGAGGTCGCAGTGAGCTGAGATCGTGTCACTGCACTCCAGCCTGCTGACAGTGCTAGACTTCACCTCAGAGAGGAGGAGGGGGAGGGGGAGAGGGAGGAGGAGGGATTTGGCAAGGTAAATAGAAAGCGCAAACCCCAGGGGACTCTAAATAGTTTGCAATTCCCACAGTGCCCTTCTCTCTCCAGTGATAGGAAGCAAACATGGGACATTTGCAAATAACAGGGGACAGATTTTACCTGCTTGTGGTGCCCAGACTTGATTGCCGCTTGCTGTGAGTGGAATGAAGAGAAGAGATTTCGAAGGAGCATGCAGAAGGCCCATGGTGGCTCCAAATGGACAGCACTCTGCCCACCGAGTAGGGCAGAGAACAGAAGACCTTGTTTGCTATGGAGGATGGAGACCGCAACCCTTTCAAGCCCTGTGCAAACTGGGTCATGAAGAGCCTCTGCATGGTAGGCATGTGGCTGGAGAAGTTCCGTTTTTTTGTCCAGATTCGGTAACATCCCGGGGAACAAAGTGCTAGAAGTGTGTGAAGGCCAAGGACAGAGCAGTTGGCTCTGGTCTGGACTATGGCAGTGCCTCCATAGTCTTGGAGAGAAGGTGGAGGCTGAAGAGGAGCCTGAGTGTGGGTCTGACTATGGATGCCAGTGTCTTCCCTGAATGTGGCCATCCCAGGGCAACTGTGGGACAAGAAGAAAGAAAAGGTCCACTTGGGAGGTTGAGACGGGCACTGGAGGGCCTCTCCTAAGGCAAACCTTGCTGGAGCACAGTGCTCAGGAAAAGTCCTTGAGGACTCAGTCGTGCAATCTGAGCTGGACGATTTCACATGAAAGGATACTGGGAAGATTTCAGAACCAAATAGCAGTGACGGCATCTTGCTCAAATCTATGAAGCTCATCTTGATGGATTCGAGAGAATAAAGTGCCATGGGTTTACTGTTAGGCCTCTTATCCCATCCACTGGCTGCCAAATATGGATTCAGCTGTGCTGTGTTGTATGAAAATCCGTCCAGGAGCCTTTTGTATCTGAGGCGCTTATAGCTTTTAGCCATTGGAAGAAGTTCAGAGGAACACCGTTGGTATCTTAGTTTCTGAGTCTTCATGGCTGGGGCCAGTTTGGAGGCAAGGATGGACAGCTTGTCTAGTAAGGCTGATTCTTTGGTAGGCTTCCTAAAATTCGGGCTCCTCAAGGGATGGCATGGTATAGTTGTCTGCTTTGGTATGTGGCTAATCAAGCTCTTGGCAGGTGCTGTTACAGGTTCTAATCGTGTAGGTGCAGACACAGTACACAGACTGAGAAGTCTGTGTGCTTTTGTTGGGGTGGGATTGGAGGAACTCTTTAAAAAGGCAGAACTTCTGATTTTACCTATTTTTCTCCCCACACTGTTTTGCTCCTGACTGGAAACTTTCTTACAAGTTCGATGGGGCTGCTTCTTTAAAGGAAGCATTTCTTTCTTTGCAAAGGCACCAGGTATTTGATCACACCCAGCAGAGGAGGGATCTTGTGCTTTCTGAGGGGCACCAAGATGGCAAGAACCTGTGCATGCCTCAATGTCCTTCTTAAATGGATGATGTAAGCTTCCTTCCTTCTGGTCTTCTAACTTCTGAGTCTGTGCTACAATGCTGTTCTTGGCCAGCTGTGCTAGCGTGACTTCATTCATCATGGTGGACTCACCTTTGTCAACCTTAGGTTGGTTCTTATTTTGTGCATCATCTAACAACAGACTGGATGATATGCATTGTTCCGATATCATATGTGCTTCCTTTTGATGTATATATTCCTCTTCTTTCTGCAACCTGTAGTCCAAAACCTCAGGGCTCTGCTGTTTTTCACTGTGACTAAGCATCTTTTCGCATTTAATGTGGGTCTGAGAGATGTTGTTCACATGATCGCCACCGCCAACTTCTCTGGTAACCATCTCCTCAGGTTGCTCCCCAACAGTCAAGTCACCTGGTGGTCCCCTCTGATGCTCTTGAGTTTCTTCTCCTTTCACTTTAGTTTCTGTTTTCACTGTTAAAGGCAAATAACTGTCAGAGGAATTCCCGTGAAAGTGACAAGCTTTGCAAGCATTCTTTTCCACAAAGGTACATATGCTGTCTCCGTCACTAGAATTACTCCTATCTCTTGATACTCCTTCCTTCATCTCAGGAAGGACTGTGCGGTCCTTTACATTTTCACAAAGAATTTTAGCATCTTTTGGTTTAAAAAGATTTTTCAGGTCAGTTTCTTCACTGTTATTATTAGTTTCTGAATTTTCTTGAGAAGGCATTATTTCAATGGATTTCAGGATTCCTAGGGAACCGGAGCTCTCATCATGGCAAGACATTAACTCTTTTGAGGAAATTCCAAAGGTACTTTCTTTGCCAAACTCAGAGCTTATTTCTAGTCTTGATCCTTCAGTCATTTCTTGTGTTTCTCTGAGAGTTATTTCATTATCTTGCTGTGCATAATGGACATGATTTAAAGACACATTTACTCCATCCAATATTCTTACATTTAGTTCATGATCTGCAATAGACTCCATCTCATGGGGACAAGAGTCTGGACACTTTTCCATTTCACAGTCTTTTAAAGATCTGCATACATTTTCTTCATACGATTTTTTTAGTTCAAGAAAGCCCACTATAGAAGCAGCAGCATCTGAGAAATCGGAGTCCTGGCCAATTGTTCCTATATGGGCAGCATCCAGTTCTCTTTGAAACAAGGTACTCCTTGAGTCCTCTTGGAATGCCAATCTCTCTTGCCTTGCACAATCCAGTGGATTAGACGCTTTAACGTCCAGCACACCTTCTGTAGGCTTATTACTACAGTCTGTGTAGACGATATTTACCATACCTTCTGTGGACTCATCACAACCAGAAATCTTGACAAAGTCTGCTTTCAAATTGCCTTTTTTTGGACTACCACAAGGTAGTGAGTTATCACTGCCTGAGCTGACCAGCAGATCTTTTTGGTTGTGGCTTACCTCTCCCTGAAGCTTGGTGACAGTCTCTCTCTGGTCACTACCTAGTGTCTCCTTAGCTGACTGACCTTCACTTCTGCATTCATCTGGTCTGTTTTGGTTACTCTGAGAGTCAAGGACTTCATCTGCCTTATGATCAACCTGATTGAGCGTTTCAACTGCTTTTATGTCTTTAAAACTGGAGAACATAACAGGAGGAGACTGGTCCAACATTTTTTCAGGACTTGGAATGTTTACAGTCTGCTTTAGTTCTTGTATAGCATGATCAGAGATGTTATACTTACAAAATACAGTTTCTTTGGATATATCCTGCCCCTTTCCTTCCAGCCCTTCCTCACTAGATTTGATATTACTCAAGGTGTGAATGGTTTTGTTTGAAATTCCACTATTTAACAAGTCTGCTGTCATTTTGTTTTTGATCTTATCTCCCGGAAGGCTGCCATTAGTTTCTTTCCCATCAAGTTCCCTTTCCTCTGATGTATAACTCACTTTACAGCTGCTTTTTTCCACAGAGTCTCCTGCTCCTTGGCAGTAGTGATGACTGTGCTGAAATGCATTTTTACATTTTGTTATCAAAGAGTTATCAACTTGCAGGTTGATTTTGCTGGACTTGAAAGCAGCACAAGCTGAACACATGTTTTCTTCAGATACATGTTTTCTTATACAATGACAGCTAGAGATATCCTGAGATGGAACATTGTGACATTCTATGACAGAGACCACTTGAGGAAAGCCAGCTGCTTCTCTCTTATTTGAAAGAAGCCTGGAATGTAGAGCTTTTGTTCCTGAATCAGCCATTTCTTTTTTTCTCTCTAGGCTTACTGGTTTGATGTTTAAGGTGGGACTGTTTGAAGAGGCACCACAGGTTTTATTACCTGGTGAAGAGATGTCTTTCATTTTTGTCTGAACAGGAATGGTTTGTATATCAGCAGTGACATCTGCTCCACACTCTAATGGAGGATGATGGCTCTGTTGGGCATCTTTGCCTATTTTTAAAGGCATCTCTTTGTTTAAATGCATTACAGAGTCAGTTGGCAACTTTGCATGGTCTTGAGAATTAAGGGACACTTGTTGATTTAAAACACATTCACTTTCTACTTTGTTTATAACCAGTTCATTGGTACAAGAAAGTTCATTCATCTCACAGGCTATGCTCTGTTCATCTAAAAGTGGAATATCATCATGTGAGGTCTGTATAACTTTTTCTGACTCAGGTCTGTAATCAAATTCTGGGGATGGTGGTAACAGAGCAGTACCTTTCTTGGGTTTTAACACCTCACTTATAGGACTTATCTGACCCTCTGGCATTAAACTCACAATGGATTTTCTTTCAAACAGAAAATCATTACATGATGCTTCATTTAACTGGGTGTTGCTTTCCAGATTTCTCTGGATGGTGACTAAGGACTTACCGTTTTTAGTGTAAAAAGATTTACTTAATAAACTGGGCTCTGTAGGGGTTGTCTGTTCTGACTCTTCAACCTGCATCAAGGAGGAAAAACTGCTTTCTTCAGAGTATCTACCTAGATGGCTCATATTAGTAAAAGTTTCTTTATGGTCCTCAGGGTATGTTAAGTTACCTTGAACATCTAAAGTAATTTTCAAATCATTCTTATTTAACATTACTCCTGTGGCTTCAGTAAAAGAATTGGGCATTAAAGAACCAGAGCTCCTTGTATGGAGACTGTCTTGAATGCAACAGTTATTGTGGATATTTTCTTTTGAGGAAACAACAAGTTCTTTTTCACCAGATGGTCCACTAATCTCCTTTTCTGGTTGCCTGGCATTAATAAAAAAAGGTCCACCTCTTTCACTCCTGGGAATCAAAAGCTGTTCTTTTTCTCTAGAAGGCAAGTTATTCCTTTGATCATCTCCCCCATAAAAATAAGAATAGTCTGTCTTTTCAGCAGATCTCTTTAGCAAACCATCACCTTCAAAACCACAGTTTTCTAAGGATACTGTTCTGGATTCTTGACCAGACAAGTCTGATGTGAAACATGAAACTTGACAGTTTTCTTTCAAGGGGCTTGTCGCTGTGGGACTATCACATGCAGAACTGGGTTGTTCATTACAGTGGCCATGAATTTGTTGGTGATTGTCATCTGCCTCACAGACAAGGTTTAGTTTATACAACTCTTTCTCCCTATTGTCCACACTAGAAATGGCACTGTTTCCTGGTAATGACAACCAAGGACAACTTTTTAATTCTTCACATTCTTCTACTTTAGGAGTTGCTTCTGTTAATCCAGGGTCCACAAAAGTTAAAGGTTCTAGGGTAACTAATGTGCTGGTTTCTGAAACCTCATCACTGGTGATGATTTTGTCTACCTCTGGGAATTCTCTGCATCCAGCTGAGAGATCATCCAGCTGAGAGATCACATTGCCATTTTTCTGTCCTTCATTATTATCCATCTTAGTCCCACTGGTCTTCATACCTTGTACTTCGGTAGATTTTAGCAGAGCTTCAGCTGTAATCTGTACATCTCCTTCTGCGTAAGAGAATTAAATTAAATCAATATGCAGTAATAAAAATTCATTTGCTCTGCCTTCATGCATTTTATTATGCTATGCTATCAAGGGCAACAAGAAGAGCTGACTCAAAAAGAACTAAAAAGTTAGCATGTTATACTATTGATTTTGTTCTCTGAAAATACGACAGAGGGCCAAAAGTATATCTGGCAGAAACATGTAATTTTCTTGCTTTGTTTTTTTTTTTTTTTGAGACAGAGTGTTACTCTGTCGCTAGGCAGCAGTGCAGTGGCGTGATCTCAGATCACTGCAACTTTCACTTCTGGGTTCAAGTGATTCCCCTGCCTCAGCCTCCCGAGTAGCTGAGACTACAGGTGTGCACCACCAGGCCCGGCTCAATTTTGGTATTTTAGTAGAGATGGGGTTTCACCATGTTGGCCAGAATGGTCTTGATCTCCTCACCTTGTGATCTGCCCACCTTGGCCTCCCAAAGTGCTGGGGTTACAGGCGTGAGCTGCTGCACCCGGTGAAAGAGGTAATTTTCAACAAATGCCTCTTGCTGAAAGTTACACGGTGTTCACAGATCAATGCTGGACAACTGAACAAAACATAAAAACATGTCCCTATGTTGTATTCTCATTCAATCTTAAGAAGCTTTTATTTTGGGCCAGGCTCGGTGGCTCATGCCTGTAATCCCAGCACTTTGGGAGGCCGAGGCAGGTAGATCACAAGCTCAGGAGTTTGAGACCAGCCTGACCAACATGGTGAAACCCAATCTCTACTAAAAACACAAAAATTAGCTGGGCATGGTGGTGCGTGCCTGTAATCCCAGCTACTCAGGAGGCTGAGGCAGGACAATTGCTTGAACCCATGAGGCAGAGGTCGCGGTGAGCCGAGATCGTGCCATTGCACTCCAGCCTGGGTAACAAGAGCGAAACTCTGTCTCAAAAAAAAAAAAAAGAAAAGAAATTAGCTGGGTGTGGTGATGTATGCCTTCAGTCCCAGCTACTTGGAAGGCTGAGACAGGGGGATTGCTTGGGCCCAGGAGGTCAAGCCGGCAATGGGCCATGATTGTACCACTGCACTCCAGCCTGGGTGACAAGAATAAGTGACCTTGAAACTCCGTGAGGGTAAGGATCTTGTTTTGTTCTCTTCTTTATGGTTCAGCATAATCCCTGGTATATAAACGCACAAGAGCACTTAGTAAATATTCATAAAATTGATGAATGAATACAGTTAGGTCAAATAAACAAATGATATTAATACTGAGTTTCTAGGGCTTCCCTGTCCATTTCTCAATAGATCCTGAGAGCAGTAATTACTAAGAGAAAGAGCCCTGACTGAAGCTACACCAGCTAAACTTTGATCATGGATCTGTGATACTTTTTTTTGAGATGGGGTCTTGCTTTGTTGCCTAGGCTGGAGTGCAGTGTTGCCATCATGACTCGCTGCAGCCTCCAACTCCTGGGCTCAGGTGATCCTCCCACTTCAGCCCCGCAAGAAGTTGGGACTACAGGCACATGTCACCATGCCTGGCTAATTTTTACATTTTTTTGTAGAAACAGGAGTTAGTTATCTTGCCTAGACTGGCCTCGAACTCCTGACTCAGCAATCCTCCTGCCTCAGCCTCCAAAAGTGCTGGGATCCCGGGTATGAGCCACTGTGCCCTGTGGATTTATGATACTAATTCTTGGTTTCTTCCTTTGTAAAAAGTGGGGAAAGTACACTTACTTCAGTGCTACACTGAGGATTAAATGAAAGAATGCATGTAAGATGCCAGGTGGGACAGTGCCTGGCATATAAAAGGTGCCTTTCCTTTGCTCTGCCTTTTTTTTTTTTTTTTTTTTTTGAGGCAGCCTTGTACTGTCACCTAGGCTGGAGTGCAATGGCGTGATCTCAGCTCATTTTAATCTCTGCCTCCCGGTTTCAAGTGATTCTCCTGCCTGAGTCTCCCAAGCAGCCCCTGCTACCACATCCAGCTATTTTTTTGTATTTCTTTTAGTAGAGATGGGGTTTCACAATGTTGGCCTGGCTGATCTCAAACTCCTGATCTTGTGATCCACCCACTTCAACCTCCCAAAGCGCTAGGATTACAGGTAGCAGTCACGGTGCCTGGCCTGCTCTGCTTTTTTTATTTTACTGAACCTGAGATCAGTTAAAATGGAGTAACTAGGCTAAATACAGCATTTTAAAATGTTTGGAGTCAGCAAATACTAAACTGACAAATACATACTGCAAGCCACAGGTTTTTAGATACCAATCATTTAAAAAGGCAGCCTCAAATTCCTGATTCAACACACAATATTTATCACTGTGAAACTAGCCTACTCTCCCTATCACAGCAAATGATGCTACCCTATTCAAGAATTTCTAAGTACATGGCCAGGCACAGTGGCTCACACCTGTAATCCCAGCACTTTGGGAGGCAGAGGTGGGCAGATCACTCGAGGTCAGGAGTTCAAGACCAGCCTGGCCAACATGGTGAAACCTTGTCTCTAGTAAAAATACAAAAAAATAAGCCATGTATGGTGGCGGGCACCTGTAATCCCAGCTACTTGGGAGGCAGACGCAGGAGAATCGCTTGAGCCCAGGAGGTGAAGGTTGTTATGAGCCAAGATTGTGCCACTGCACTGCAGCCTGGGTGACAGAGTGAGAACTCATCTCAAAATAAAATAAAGTGAAATAAAATAAAAATTAACATTCAGTTTTCCAAATTATATAAGGTAGATTTTCTCTTCTTGACTACTTTCATCTTTTCCTCAAAATGTATTTCCTCGGGCCGGGCGCGGTGGCTCACGCCTGTAATCCCAGCACTTTGGGAGGCTGAGGCGGGCGGATCACGAGGTCAAGAGATCGAGACCATCCTGGTCAACATGGTGAAACCCCGTCTCTACTAAAAATACAAAAAATTAGCTGGGCATGGTGGTGCGTGCCTGTAATCCCAGCTACTCAGGAGGCTGAGGCAGGAGAATTGCTTGAACCCAGGAGGCGGAGGTTGCGGTGAGCCGAGATCGCGCCATTGCACTCCAGCCTGGGTAACAAGAGCGAAACTCCGTCTCAAAAAAAAAAAAAAAAGTATTTCCTCAATGCTTTTCCAATTTCTGGTGACCCTCTTAAAAATAAGTCTTCAGGCCGGGCGCGGTGGCTCAAGCCTGTAATCCCAGGACTTTGGGAGGCCGAGGCGGGTGGATCACGAGGTCAAGAGATCGAGACCATCCTTGTCAACATGGTGAAACCCCGTCTCTACTAAAAATACAAAAAATTAGCTGGGCATGGTGGCGCATGCCTGTAATCCCAGCTACTCAGGAGGCTGAGGCTGGAGAATTGCCTGGACCCAGGAGGCAGAGGTTGCGGTGAGCCGAGATCGTGCCATTGCACTCCAGCCTGGTTAACAAGAGCGAAACTCCGTCTCAAACAAAAACAAAAACAAAAACAAAAACAAAAAAAAATAAGTCTTCATGGAAATGACTACTGTGGGAATTAAGTCTCACAGAATAATTAGTAGGAACTATTATCACCATTGCTCCTGATACCATTTCACCTTTCTTACACATAAACTTTCCAAACAAGCCCAATTACAGGGAACTCTCTGAAAAACAAGATAAAACAAATAAACTTGGTAACACCAGTTTTGTAAAATTAACTAAACAGAAAATTACAGTGAAAGAGACATATTAAAAGTCAGGATAGAAGAAAGGGTGAGGCAGCAGTGAAAGTGCCTGACCAGAGGATGATCTCCCCTGTGAGATGGTCCATAAACTCAAATACTCCTACCACTGCTCCCCCATGCCCATTTCTCATGTGCCTGCCCTACAACTATCAAGAAATAAGGAATGATAGGCAAAAATGCCTCCTACCAATTAAAGGCTCCTCTGGTCATTACAAAAGTCCTTTTAAAAGGTTTAATCTGGGCTAGGCACGGTGGTTCATGCCTGTAATCCCAGCATGTTGGGAGGCCGAGGTGGGCAGATCAACTGAGGTCAGGAGTTTGAGACCAGTCTGACCAACATGGAGAAACCCCATCTCAAAAAAAAAAAATTTTTTTTTAAAAAGGTTTAGGCCAGGCGCAGTGGCTCAAGCCTGTAATCCCAGCACTTTGGGAGGCCGAGGCGGGTGGATCACGAGGTCAAGAGATTGAGACCAACCTGGTCAACATGGTGAAACCCCGTCTCTACTAAAAATACAAAAAATTAGCTGGGCATGGTGGCGCGTGCCTGTAATCCCAGCTACTCAGGAGGCTGAGGCAGGAGAATTGCCTGAACCCAGGAGGCGGAGGTTGTGGTGAGCCGAGATGGCGCCATTGCACTGCAGCCTGGGTAACAAGAGCGAAACTCCGTCTCAAAAAAAAAAAAGGTTTAACTGTTGCCATTTCATCTAATTGAGCAGCAGCTGACATATGATTGTGACTATAGCTTACAATTATCTATAACGTATTTTAAAATGGCCAGAAGGGAAGAATTCAAATGGTTCTAGTATATGGAAAAAAACAAATATTTAAGGTGATGGAATCCCAAGCAAACAAGTTGATCTTTTCAAATTATACGAATGTATTATCACATGTACCCCAAAACCATGCACTTTACAGATCAATTAAACAAAATAATCTCAAAATCTGGAATACTGTGGTAATTTGATAGTATGGAGAGTGGGACATTTATATAGAGAAGTAAAAATAATGCACAGAGGGGAGAGTGTAGTAGCAGAGGTTCACTTACTAAACAGCTTGGTGCAGGGATGATCCCAAATCATTCCTCAGTCAGTTTATAAATTTTTTTTTTTTTTTTTTTTTGAGACAGAGTGTCGCTCTTGTTACCCAGGCTGGAGTGCAATGGCACGATCTCGGCTCACCGCAACCTCCGCCTCCTGGGTTCAAGCAATTCTCCTGCCTCAGCCTCCTGAGTAGCTGGGACTACAGGCACGCGCCACCATGCCCAGCTAATTTTTTGTATTTTTAGTACAGATGGGGTTTCACCACGTTGACCAGGATGGTCTCGATCTCTCGACCTCGTGATCCACCTGCCTCGGCCTCCCAAAGTGCTGGGATTACAGGCTTGAGCCACCGCGCCCGGTCAGTTTATAAATTATTATACTGAAGTCCTTCCACTCAGAATAACCAAAATGTAATTTTAAAAATGTAATAAATAAAACGAAGTAAAGCAATTTGCACAGTGCTCAACCATGCAAATACTTAATGAAACAAAGGTAGCAAGTATATATTAGATTTTCATCAAGACAACTTAAATGTGGGCTGGGTGCAGTGGCTCACACCTGTAATGTCAGCACTTTGGGAGGCTGAGGCAGGTGGATTACCAGAGGTCAGGAGTTTGAGACCAGCCTGGCCAACATGGTGAAATCCTGTCTCTACTAAAAATACAAAAAAAACATCAGCCAGGCATAGTGGCGCATGCCTGTAGTCCCAGCTACTTGAGAGGCTGAGGCAGGAGAATCATTTGAACCTGAGAGGTTGCAGTAGACCAAGATCGAGCCATTGTACTCCAGCCTGGGTGACAGAAAGGGGGAAAAAAAAAAAGAAAGAAAACTTAAATCTGGGGCACAGTGAAGATTTTTGGTAGCTGAGGCCCTGGAGACAAACTAGATTTCTAAGGGACATCATTCAGTTCTTAATCCCATAGTAAAGATAAAGTAGCAGATGCCTGACCTTAGTAAAGCAAGCCGATATGCTGGCAACACTACAGAAGAGCATGTGGGTCTGTTTAAATGAAATCCATGGTGATGGCATATATTGCTCATGTTCCCAGGGCTCAACATCTTCACAGACTTGTCTCCATAGAACCTTCTTCTCTGGCTTGCTATGACTGGCTTTGACTTTGGACAGCTGAGCTTGCTTCCTCATGTGCAACACAGAAATACCCTGGAAGGTTCTTGGGGGACTGAATAAACTAAGCCATTGCTGCTAAAAACTCTAATAGAGCTGCTGATTTCAAGCTCCCCTATCCCAAACTAAAACCCTTATGCATGGGCTTGGGGGAGAAAAAAAAAATCAAATATTTTACCTATTTAAGTCATTAAATAAGCATGATTCTAGAAGACGAAGAAAAGTGCCACAGAGTGATTTAGCTGAAGACATTCAGGAGAGTTCATCTTATCAATGTCCAATGTGGACCAGCTTTTTAGGTGGAGAGCAGCCAGGTAATTTTGAAAAGGCACATTTCCAAGCAGAAAATAACTCTGGCTCTCCTGTTTAAAAGGCCAGCTCAGTGGTTAAATGAAAGTGTAGGTCAACAGACATTAAATTCTGTTATAAGATATGGGCAAAAATAGGGGCCGGGCATGGTGGCTCACGCCTGTAATCCCAGGACTTTGGGAGGCCGAGGTGGGCGGATCACGAGGTCAAGAGATCGAGACCATCCTGGTCAACATGGTGAAACCCCGTCTCTACTAAAAATACAAAAAATTAGCTGGGCGTGGTGGCACGTGCCTGTAATCCCAGCTACTCAGGAGGCTGAGGCAGAATTGCCTGAACCCAGGAGGCGGAGGTTGCGGTGAGCCGAGATCGTGCCATTGCACTCCAGCCTGGGTAACAAGAGAGAAACTCTGGCAAAAAAAAAAAAAAAAAAAAAAGATATGGGCAAAAATATACCAAATACTGAATATAGCAATCAATACCAGAGCCCCACTAAAAAGATCTTGGGGGTGGGGTTAGGGGGCCACTAAACTACATCCCTAAGATGCAGGGTGTGATTTATGTACAAAACAACATTTCTCATTTTCAGAGGAATGTCCTTTAATCTATATTGGGCAGTCAAGCCTTTGAGTCACAGAGGAAATCTGTAGCAGCAGGAAGCAGGGTGATAAACTGGGACAAATGTCCTTTTTCATAAGGATGATCATATGTGCTTCCTTTTCTATCCAGGCTGCCAAGAAGCTAAGAGTCAAATGTGATGTTTTATCACAGTAACAAAATGTTCACAGAATTTAATGCAAGGGTCCTCAACCCTGGGCCATGGACCAGTACCCATCCTTGGTCTGTTGGGAATCAGGCTGTACAGCAGGAGGTGAGTGGCAGGCAAGTGAGCAAAGTTTCATCTGTATTTACAGCTGCTCCCCATGCTTGCATTACTGCTTGAGCCCCGCCTCCTGTCAGATAAATAGCGCAGCATTAGATTCTCATAGGAGTGCGAACCCTATTGTGAACTACACATGCAAAGGATCTAGGTTTCCAGCTCTTTATGAGAATCTAATACCTGATGATCTGTCATTGTTTCCCATCACCCCCAGAGGGGACCACCTGGTTGTAGGAAAACAAACTCAGGGCTCCCACTGATTCTACATTATGGGAGTTGTACAGTTTCACTATATATTACAATGTAATAATAATAATAGAAATAAAGTACAATAAATGCAATGCACTTGAATCATCCTGAAACCATCCACCCCACCAGATCCATGGAAAAATTATCTTCCATGAAACCAGTCCCTGACTCCAAAAATGTCCTGGACAACTGATTTAGCATATTCATTTTATTTTCTCTTTGTGAGGTTCTGATTATACTATATTATATTACATTACACTATCTATTTAGTGAAACAGGGTCTTGTTCTGTTGCCCAGGCTGGAGTACAGCGGTGTGATCACAGCTCACTACAGCCTCAACCTCCCACCAGGACTCAAGTGCTCCTCCTGCCTTAGCCTCCTGAGTAGCTGGGACCACAGGCATGTGCCACCATGTTAATTTTTGTATTTTTTTGTAGAGAAGGGGTTGCGCCATGTTGCCCAGGCTAGTCTGGAACTCTTGGAATCAAGCAATCTTCCCACCTTGTCCTCCCAAAATGCTGGGATTACAGACATGAGCAAGTGTGCCCAGCCTGATTATTCTATATTAGCTTTAATTAACACACAGTCCTCTCTAAAGTTACCTAAGATTATCTTTAGCCTTGGGGTGAGAAGAGGAGAACCTTATCTCAGCTACTCTCTTTTGGACCTCAACTTCCTCCTCAATCAATCAATCTACAAGGAATAATCTCACACCTCTATACCCAATCACTGTTCTGAGGAGCAAAAAGAGGTAATAAAGCTGCCTTGAAAACTCTCAAGGTGACCTGGAGTAAACATTTTCTCTCATCCCTGACCCCACAGAACAAAAATAGGATACACTACCACACGCTGAACTATACTGGGTACATTCCTTCCCTGTCCCAGTTAACCCTTCTAAACAGACAAATACAATATATTTGATGATATAAAATCTAACAAAGGACCAACACAATCAAAAGAAAGGGACTCGCTGGGTGTGGTGGCTCAAGCCTGTAATCCTGCACTTTGTGGGGCAGAGGCAAGAGGATCACTTGAGCCCAAGAGTTCAAGACTAGCCCGGGCAACATGGTGAGACCATGCCTCTACAAAAAAAACCCACACAAATGTAGGCATGGTGGTTTGCACCTGTAGTCCCAGGTACTCAGGAAGCCAAGGTATGAAGATCGCTTGAGTCCTGGAAGTTGAGCCCTGGTAAGATATAATCTTTACCAGGAGTCCCCAAACTACGGCCCGCAAGCTGCATGCAGCCCCCTGAGGCCATTTATCCGGCCCCCCACTGCACTTCAGGAAGGGGCACCTCTTTCACTGGTGGTCAGTGACAGGAGCACAGTATGTGGCGGCCCTCCAATGGTCTGAGGGACAGTGAACTGGCCCCCTGTGTAAAAAGTTTGGGGGCCGGGCGCGGTGGCTCAAGCCTGTAATCCCAGCACTTTGGGAGGCCGAGGCGGGTGGATCACGAGGTCAAGAGATCGAGACCATCCTGGTCAACATGGTGAAACCCCGTCTCTACTAAAGGTGCAAAAAATTAGCTGGGCATGGTAGCGCGTGCCTGTAATCCCAGCTACTCAGGAGGCTGAGGCAGGAGAATTGCCCGAACCCAGACGGCGGAGGTTGCGGTGAGCCGAGATCGCGCCATTGCACTCCAGCCTGGGTAACGAGAGTGAAACTCCGTCTCAAAAAAATAAAAAAAAAAAAAGTTTGGGGACGCCTGATTCTATACTGAAGTTACAGTTTCTATAGTTAAGTCCACCTTACAAGGCAGGGACTTATAACCCTTATATTCTCAATGCAAAATGGAAATGGAACTAAAACAGTATTTGTAGTAAATGGAAAAATGAAGAGATTTGAGAGAAATAAATACCTTTGCTCCTTAGAAAATCTTCAGGGAGGTCCACATGTGAAAGTTCTTTGCTGGACTGCATCAGGATATCCTCCTGTAGTAAGAAAATCCAGTGGTCAAGGGGGATTCAGAAGATTCTGAGCTCATGATTATTATTCTTTTTTTTTTTTTTTTTTTTTGAGAGAGTCTTGGTTCCCCTGGCTGAAGTGCAATGGTGAGATCTTGGCTCACTGCAACCTCCACTTCCCAGGTTCAAGCTATTCTCCTGTCTCAGTCTCCTGAATAGATGGGATTACAGGCACCTGCCACCATGTCTGGCTAATTTTTATATTTTTAGTACAGATAGGGTTTCACCATGTTGGTCAGGCTGGTCTTGAACTCCTGACCTCAAGTGATCTACCCACCTCCACCTCCCAAAGTTCTAGGATTACAGGTGTGAGCCACCATGCCTGGCTAAATATTAGTTATTATTATTATTATTTTTTTAAAGATGGGGTTTCACCATGATGGCCAGGCTGGTCTTGAACTCCTGACCTCAGGTGATCCACCCACCTCGGCCTTACAAAGTGCTAGGATTCCAGGCTTCAGCCACTGTGCCTGGCAATATTAATTATTTTTAAGAGACTTCTTTATGACTTTGGGAAATTGGCTAGCAGTCACAAAGATTGGGCACTGACGGAAACCTCAAATTTAAGTGTCAAAAATAAAAATTTCTACTTATCTAGAATTTGAGTTTGAAAGCTTTTTAAAGTTGTGACAATAACAGAGGTCTAAAAAAAATGTTAATGTGCAGATCCAAACAAAACCCTATATATGCCTTCTGAGTCAAGAAACAAATGGCTGGGATATACTTTCAATTTCATTTGAAAGAGAAATATCAAGAAATCAGATGTATCTCAATCCTTAATCATTCTAGATATCATAAATTCAACCCCCTTCACTGGAGGAGAAGTGGAAAATCAATTATACCACCAATGACAATCAGTATTAGGCTGGGTATGGTGGCTCACACCTGTAATCCAAGCACTTTAGGAGGCTAAGGCAGGTGGATCACTTGAGGTCAGGAGTTCGAGACCAGTATGGCCAACACAGTGAAACCCAATCTATACTAAAAATACAAAAATTAGCCAGGCTTGCTGGTGGGTGCCTGTATAATCCCAGCTACTCGGTAGGCTGAGACAGAAGAATCGCTTCAACCTGGGAGGCAGAGGTTGCAGTGAGCTGAGATCATGCCACTGTACTCCAGCCTGGGTGACAGAGTGAGACACTGTCTCAAAAAACAGACAGACAACCAGTTTCTTACTAAAGAAGAAATTCAGGCCAGGTCCAGTGGCTCACACCTGTAATCCCAGTACTTCAGGAGGCTGAGGTGGGCAGATCATGAGGTCAAGAGATTAAGACTATTATGGCCAACATGATGAAACCCCATCTCTACTAAAAATACAAAAATTAGCTGGGTGTGATGGCATGTCCTAGCTACTCAGGAGGCTGTGGCAGGAGAATCGATGGAACCTGGGAGTGGAGGCTACAGTGAGCCGAGATCAAGTCACTGGTAACAGAGCCAGCCTGGTAACAGAGCAAGAGTCTCCAAAAAAAAAAAAAGAAAGAAAGAAAAATAGAAAGAAAGGAATGGTGGCAGAATGTGCACATTGTGGCAACTGCCTCAGAGCCCCAAGATTACTGGCTAGGAGACTGAAATAGAGACAGTTGCTTACACTAAGCATTCCTTCTGGGTCACCTCTTTTCCCCGGTCCTAAGCCTTAATGTTTCTTTTCACTTTGATTTAACTGGTAAGTATGAGATTCTGATACTGCACTCATCTAAAGCTACATAAATCAGGCTGGAGCCTGGACACAGTAATCCTAGCACTCTGGAAGGCCCAAGTGGGTGGATCACCTGAGGTTGGGAGTTTGAGACCAGTTTGACTAACATGAAGAAACCCCGTCTCTACTGAAAATACAAAATTAGCTGGGTGTGGTCACGCCACTGCACTCCAGCTTGGTGACAGAGCGAGACTCCATCTCAAAACAGAACAAAAAAAAATCAGGCCGGGCATGACAAATCACCTGAGATCAGGAGCTCGAGACCAGCCTGGCTAACATGGTAAAACCTTGTCTCTACTAAAAATAAAAAAATTAGCCAGGTGTGGTGGCACATGCCTGTAGTCCCAGCTACTCGGGAGGCTAAGGCAGGGGAATCGATTGAACCCAGGAGGTTGAAGTGAGCCAAGCCTGTGTATGCTCTCACCTCACTGCAGCCTCCGCCTCCCAGGTCCAAGCATTTCTCCTGCCTCAGTCTCCCACACCCAGCTAATTTTTTGTGTCTTTTTTTTTTTTTTTGGTAGAGACGAGGTTTTACCATATTGGCCAGTCTGGCCTTGAACTCCTGACCTAATGATTCACCTGCCTTGGCCTCCCAAAATGCTGGGATTACAGGTGTGAACCACCACGCCTAGCCGATAACTTAAATGTTCACACAAATCCCTCTCAACATCAAATGACATAATTGTTAGCTTATAGAGCACTTTAAAAACTATGTAAGATTTTACAGAATTGGCTTAAATATATTTTAAAAAACTCTATAGGAAGTTCATACATATAATAGTACAATTTGTTTTTCAAATTCACAGTAAACAATTCTCTGCTTTGATCACCCAACATGTCACCTACCTGCCCACTGTTTTGGAATAAAAATCAATTTATGATACTTCTCTAGAGTTCTGGCAGATTTTAGGAGGGTCTTAAAATCCCTTCTTACTATTTATCTGTGGTTTTATGTCTTATTTCCCATTAAAAGTTGGCTGTATGTCTTGGAAACAATGCAATTCTCTGATTTGTTCCTATGAGACCAGTTTAGATCAGGAAAAAACACAAATATCTGGAGGGAAATGAAAATACGCTCAGCTCTTCGGCTTTTATAGCCACGACAATTTTTCTTTGTTTTTTTGTTTTTTCCTTTTTTTAGATGGAGTCTCACTTTGTAACCAGGCTGGAGTGCAGTGGCATGATCTTGGCTCACTGCAACCTCCACCTCCTGGATTCAAGCGATTCTCCTGCCTCAGCCTTCCAAGTAGCTGGGACTACAGGCATGTGTCACCATGCCCAGCTAATTTTTGTATTTTTAGTAGAGACGGTGTTTCACCATGGTAGTCAGACTGGTCTTGAACTCCTGACCTTGTGATCTACCTGCCTCGGGCCTCCCAAAGTGCTAGGATTACATGCTAGGTGGCATGAGCCACCGCACCCGGCTGTTTTTGTTTTTGAGACAGGGTCTTGCTCTGTTGTCCAGTCTAGAGTGTAGTGGTGCAATCACAGCTTACTGCAGCCTCAACACCCTGGGCTCAAGTGATCCTCCCACCTTGGCCTCCCAAATGCTGGGATTACAGGTGTGGCCACCACACCCAGCCTGGCAAGGTAGTTTTAATCTCCTTAGGTTTAAATCCTGGTACATCTCTGAGCCTGGAGTGCTGGTTGTAACCAGACCCCTCTGAGCTCTTCCAAATCTGAGTTTCCCAAACTGGAGGCAGAGGCAGATTAGTGAGGGAAGGTGAGCAATGGTTCCTCTATAGATGGGATCTCCTATACACTAAATTAGGCAATTGTAGGGCCAAATTTCTAAACAAATGAGATACTTCCTACTTCCTGACATTTGTGAAAGTGGCCATGATTACTTTCACAGCCATGATTACTTTTAAAATGCTCCGAAATGAAAGAAACTCTTTTATCTCTAGATGGCTCTCTCAGTGTCCTACACTTGCATATCTAGAAAGGAACAACGGTAAAATAGTAACTTTAAATTCACCTTTGCACAGCTTAAAATAGAATTTTCCTCTACATATTTTAATTCAGAGTAATACTGGTGACTTCAAGTAGGTATTGCTCATGTTAGCTGGTAAGGCAGATCACATTCTTCCACAATGAATTATCCAAAAGAATTGCTGAAATAATTAAAATAAAGTTCTATCTTAAGAATCAGCAATGTGCTTTGGGTAACTTTCTGTCGCATGTTTTATAACATGCGACGAGAAACATCAGCAAACCACCACTGGGGGGAAATAGTGCTCTGGGAGACCCAGAGAACAGCTTATGACCACCAATGCTGTAACTGTGTCCACAAAGTATAGAATCTTCACCTGAAATAACTGAAAATTGAATTCTTCCCAACAAGATTTCCTTTTAAGCAAACAGCAAGTTCCTCTACTCTACTGCAAATTTCCCCTAGGATCAAAGACTCCCAGATTAGTAGTAGTAACCTTAAGGGGTACTTAATGCAACAACCTTGCATTTAAGTAAATTTATCTAAATTACACAAGACTGGGTCTTTCACGAACACACCATTAAAAATCAAGATTCTCCAGCAGCATAACATCCTTCAAGTGATCAGCCGCTTGTGCTTCCTTAATGTTCCTTCTCCATATACCTTCAAATAGCTGTTAAAAAATGTGTACTAGGCTTTTGAAGTTAAAAGACAATTCAGATCCTGCCACTGCACTCCAGCCTGGGTGACAGAGAAGACTCCATCTTCAAAAAAAAATTCAGAATTTTTCCTGTGTTTGAGTTGATCACAACTAATGTATTGTACCCTAGAACAAAAGCATTTACAACATATTCAACTCAGGTAGGTCTACCATATGGGAGAAAAATATATAAGAAGTTTATATATTTTGGCCACGCACAGTGGCTCACACCTGTAATCCCAGCACTTTGGGAGGCCGAGGCAGGCGGATCACCGAGCTTGGGGGTTCAAGACCAGCCTGAACAACACAGAGAAACCCCATCTCTACTAAAAATACAAAATTAGCTGGGCGTGGTGGCGCATGCCTGTAATCCCAGCTACTCAGGTGGCTGAGGCAGGAGAATCACTCGAACCCAGGAGGCAGAGGCTGCAGTGAGCCGACATCACACCACTGTACTTCAGCTTGGGCAACAAGAGAGAAATTCTGCCTCAAAAGAAAAAAAAAGAAAAAGTTTACATATTTATGTAAGTTTATATATTTTATTTTATTTTTTTATTTTATTTTATTTTTTTTTTTTTTGAGATGGAGTTTCGCTCTTGTTACCCAGGCTGGAGTGCAATGGCGCGATCTCGGCTCAC